CTGCAGCCCTTGGGGACCTGGCCTTCTAGCTGTGCCCGTACTCTCCTCCCCAACTCCTGCCGCCTAGATGGGGACAGTGGGGCAAGTGGCTGGTCCCTCTTGACACCGTCCTATGGCCTGAATTTACTGTGTGAAATCATCGCTTTCGAGTCCATTTTGAAATGTCAAGGAATGAGAAAAGCCTTGAATATTTATAAATGTTGGGACCCACTTGCAGGATATCTTAAAGGGGAAAGACGTCAAATGCAGAGATATGGAAGGAGACTGCCTTGTGCTACTTTAAATAGAAAAGGTGCTGGCAGCTGAAGTGGCAGTTTCGGGGCTTCCAGGGAGCTCTTTTCCTGGCGCCTGCTAAATGTTAATCTAGAGTTGGGCATGAGCGTGAGGTGGCAAGGCGCAGCCCTCTACCTTCTTTCCATGCCTCCTCCCTCTCGCGCGCTCTAACTCTCCAATTGCTTTAAAATATTTAGAAGGAACATGCTATGTTATTTAAAAGCTAGATTGGCTCACTGACCTGGAGGGCTCAGCCTAGTTAGCGGAGAAGCCCCACTGAGGCACAGGCGTGGTATGGCAGGGGGCTCAGAGGCGACTGACTTAGGAAGCAGGAGAGGAAAGGGGTGACCACAGAAACTCTGAATTCTTGGTTGAGGAAGATGACTTTGTTTGGGAGAAACTAGTTCTCAGAATATGCAGCATTCAGATATCAGAGATACAACTTTCATTTTGTTCCTGAATAATTGGTCAATGAAGAAAGCTAGGACAGAGGAGGTTAGGAGCTGTGCAGGCTTGGGCGGCCTTCAGGAGGGAGAACCAGTGACAGCAGGCAGCATCACTAGGCTTGTGCTCTGTGCCAGGCATGCTCCATGCAATCCCTTGTTGATCTGTGACGAGGGGCCACAGAGCGGGGAGATGGGCACCCAAAGCTGAAGGCTCATGTGTGGTGGAGCCGGGACAAAGCTGAGGTTACTGTCTCCACAGGGGCACCCCTCGGTGGGCATCTGTGCAGCTCACCAACTCTTGCTAGCACTGCGCCTCCAGGCCACAGCAGGATGACATTCCCTGTCCCTGAAAATGTTAGGGGTGGCCACGTGACTTGCTTTGCCAGTGAAATTGGTGAGAAGTGACCTGGTGGAAACTTTAAGAGCTAGTTTCTGACTTGCTACTTCCTGTTCCCACAGCTCAGCAGGAACCAGGTTGTGAGGATGGTGCCTTCCTCAGGGTGGGACCCCAGTGGGGGTGAGAAGCAGCAGGGCCCTAGCCCCCAGCAGTGGCTTTTGCGTGTTTGAGAAGTAAACCTTTCTTTGTTTTAAGCCCCTAGGATTCAGGGGGATGTTTGTTAATGCAACAGAACCCACTTTTCCCTGACTGATACAACACCTAACCTTACACCATGAATTAGAAATACATGTCTGAAGCATAAGAGGCTTAGAGATCATTGGATTCAACCCCCCATTTAGTAGCTGAGAAAACGCAAATGTCCATAATCTTGGCCAACATGCTTATCTGTGACCAGAGCTGTGATGATGGAACCCTTGTCCCTTTGGGAACGGTCTAAGTTTTGGAGACCTCAGTCTGGCCAGTACTTCCCCCACCACCTCAATAGTCTTGGCCTGTCCTCTCATTTTGTGCCCCTAGAGGAGCCCCCACCCTCCACACCCACCCATTAGGTCTTTCCCACTTCACAGATTTTCACCTTGGCCTTCCTGCCTTTTCCTCCTAAGCCACAGAGTTGACCCAGCGAGGGCTCAGCGTCAGGTGCAGTTCCATGGGGCTGGTTGGGGGTGGAGGCAGAGAGGGTTCGAATCCCTGATGTGTTCAATAGAAGAGCAGAACAGGGAAGTCTATGTCTTCACTGGCCTGAGACTATCTCCAGAAATATGATGAAGGTTCCTGCCCTGCCTCCCTCTTTCTGTCCAATCTCACCAAAACCTCACATTTTCTACAATTCAAATCTGTCTGTCCTTTGTCTAAAATGCAAAGGTCTCCCTCTTGGGTCACAGGGGTCCAAGGATGTCACAGAATTCATGGCCCCGTCAGTGGACAGCAGCTCTTCTGTTGCCCGGACTGCACCTGCAGAAATGCGGACAGTGGTGACTGGGGCAAGCAGAGCTCGGGGTCAGGGGTGCTCTCCTCAGCACTCAACTTAGAGAGGGGAGAGAGGGAGGGGCTCGAGCCGTGATGTGGAGCTCACCTGTGGACCATGCAAGGTAGAATGCCCAGTCAACAGGGGGTTGGCAACAGGGGGTTTGGGGATCTTCTGTTTACCACATCTGATGCTCGCACCCTCTCTGCCTTCACCCCCTGCCAGCCCAATGGTGTTGCACTGGATGTTGCCAGATTGTCTCATGGATTCAAATTCTTTCTCAGGTTGAGAAGAGATGCTCTTAGTAACAGAGCTTCATGATTTTGGTTCTTTCTGGGAAACAACTCTTGGGAGGGGAGAGAGAAATTCCATGCAGGCCAGCCATAAAGCATGGGATGTATGGGAATGGGGGACAGAGGTGAGGGAGAGCTGGGCACAGTGCAAAGGCCCTCCAAGATGTGGGTTGGATATGGGGCGAGGGGGCTCTAGGGCAGCCAGTGGTTTGCAGAGTGTGTTGGCGGGGGCTGCAGGATAGACCCCATCTCACAGAAAGGCTAGGAGTTCCTTCTTCCCACCACAGGGCAGACTCATCAGAGCTCCAGCTTCCAGGCCAACTGAGGGGCCCAGGCACCACTTTGGAAACTGCTGTGCCAGGAAGAGGCAGTGTTGTGAATGGCGTCTAGTTTAAGTCCATGTTAATTAGAGAATATATAATTATGATTGTCATAAACCATGGTATGGTATTCCTTGTGCTTATTCTGCTTGGAGTTTGTTGAGATTCTTACATCTGTGTTTGTATTTTAAAATTTAATTTGGGAAAACTTTTGGCCATTATTTCTTCAAATACATTTTATGTCCTCTCATTCCTGTCTTCTGTGACTTCAAGTATCTGTGTATTAGATACAATGACCCTTAAGTCACTCAAACTCTTTTTACTTTTTTCGTTTTCATATGTCTATTTTCTCTCTGTGATTAATTTTAGATAGTTTTAATTGCATTTTCCTCATGATATTTTCATCTGCCATATCTAATTTGTTATTAATCCCACTTAGTATGCATTTTATGTCAGGTATTTTTTTTTTTTAATTTCCACTTTGTATGTTCCATTTACCTCCTCATTATGTTCATACTTTCATTTATATTCTTGGACATATCTTTAATATTTATCATTGCTCTTTGCAGATCCTAACTGGCTATTTTTATCACTCTTGTCATTTTGGGATCTGCTTCTATTGTTTTATTTTTCTCCTGGTTATGGGTAATATTTGCCTGTTATTTCACATGGCTGATGATTTTTGATTGGGTGCTAAACACTGTTTTTCATCTTTGAGTGCTGATTCTGTTGGATTCCTTTAAAGAGTGTAGGACTTTGCTCTGGACTGCAGTTACTTATGGAACCATTTGGCCTCCTTGAGGCAGGCACCTGAGATTTGTTAGTGTAGCCCTTCTAGGATGAATTTAGCCCCATTTCTAAGGTTTGACCCTCTTAGGATTGTACCCAACACCCCGTGTATCATGAGGTCTCTCCATTCTCTCTGATAGAAGTACTGAACAGCCTCTCTGTGTGGGCCCCAAGTGTTATTGGACCTGCCACTTTGTAGGGGGTCTTTCTGTGGCTTTATGGAGTCTGACCCATGCATTGCAGTTCACTCCTCAGTCAAGCACTAGTGAGGCCCCCTGAGGTTCTCCAGAGCCCTCTCTGCAGACCTCCCCCCTCTCTGGCATCCTACCCTGCACATCCTCACTGCCTCAACCTCTTCTAGAGAAGAGCCTGGGCTCGGAGCTGGGCCTGTCCTGCACTGGTTCCTGGGAACTGCCTCTAGGCTGCAAGCTGGAAAAAGGGAGGGCTCAGCTCTTTGGTTTCTGCACTCCCCTGAATCACAGGTACCTGCTACCTGTTGTCTAATAGTTGAAAACAGCTATTTCACATATTTGGTTTATTTCATGAGGAGGTCAATTCCCAGAGCACTTAACTCTTCATGATGCATAAGAAGCCAAGTGGGTATAAAGTTTTTGTGATTTAGTTTATCCTTAAAATAACTTTCTTTTTAGGCCTGTCTTGTCAGTCCATTTACTCATCTTAAAGATCAAAGAGTACAGTGTGAAGGGGACCTGCCTCCACCCTGCCTCTCTTGGCTCTGGGCTGTGATTCTCTGCACAGACCACGTTGCTTGTGGCCATTTGCCTGTCTGCTTCCCTTGTTGGGTGGTGATGCTCTTGGAGAGTGGGAGCCAGAACTCGTCATCCTGGGACCACACAGCTAACCATGACCTGGCCCCTAGTAGCAGTGAGTATGTGTGTGTGTCTGTGTGTGCATATGTGTAGGAGTACATGATAGACATGTGGGTGCTTGTTTAAAAGCAACCCCAGCCTGAGGCAGGGACTGAGAAAGAGCAGATCCTCCCATTTCCATGCAGCCCCTTCCCTCCCCGATGGGTGCCTCAGCTTAGCTCCCAGCCATGTGCCAAGCAGCAGAATGTGCACCTGCAAACTCTCTGCCCCTTTTCCCTTCTTCAGAAAACAAGCCCTCTTAAAGGAGGAGATTAGATTCACTCCAGTAACACGAAGGGCTTCACTGGAGGATCAGCCTGGCAAGGAAGATGCTAAGTTAAGTTAAGTAGGATGGTGCCGTGACTTATATAGGGAGGCCTCCATCTCTGCTGCTGGGACTGTGCTGCCCAGGAGGCTATAAGCATCGACAGGGAGGATTAGAAGCATGAGCTCTGCCTGGATTTGCCTCCCTGTGGTCACAGGGCAGAGCAGAGCGTGGAGCTTCTGTGTCCCTGAAATGTCCACCCGATGAGCTCATAAACCCATGCACCTGATGAGCTCATAAACCCACGGTGTCCTCCTGTGGCACTCCCTGGGTTCCTTGGGTGGGGGCTGCTGACCATCAGCTTATAGGCCTCGTCCCCAAGGTGGGGTTAGATGGAACAAACGGGCACTTGCTTCCCTCAAGGTCAGAAGGCACAGCTCTGCTGTGTGCCACACCTCGGGGGAGATGGGGGTGGGGGGCTGTGGTGCCTGGGAATGAGCTTGCAAACCAGAGGGCAGTCGTGAGCTCTGATGTGGTCCCTCAGGAAGCCTGCAGAGTCAGCACTGAGTGTGCTGGCTCAGCACTACCTGGCTGAGCCGTTTCCGGCTCACACAGAACAGCAGCCACCACACTGGGCATCCTGTAAGGGCAGCTCACTCACTCCCAGATAATGAGGAGGAGCCTGAGGCCCAGAGGGAGGCCACAGTTTGCACAGTCTTCAGGGGAGGCACTGAACACCAAATTCACAGTCGCGCTCCAGGTTCTTGGGTGACGGAAGGTGAGAATTTAGAGAAACTGTCAAGGCCTGCCTGGTTTTTAGACCAAAAGAATCACATTCTACATTAAGATGGAGATGGGAACTTTCATCTGTCCATCCATCCATCCATCCACTCATCCATTCACTCACCCATCCACTCACCTATTCATCCATCCACTCACCCATCCCATCACCTATCCATCCATCCATCCATCCATCCATCCATCCATCCATCCATCCATCCATTCACTCACCCATTGCATCACCTATCTATCCATCCATCCATCCATCCATTCACTCACCCATTGCATCACCTATCCATCCATCCACCCATCCATCCATCCATCCATCCATCCATCCATCCATCCATCCATCCATCCATTCACTCACCCATTGCATCACCTATCTATCCATCCATCCATCCATCCATCCATCCATTCACTCACCCATTGCATCACCTATCCATCCATCCATCCATCCATCCATCCATCCATCCATCCATCCATCCATCCAATTATTCACTCCTTGATTTCCCTCACATACTTATTAAATACCTGCTATGGACCAGCTGCTATTCTAGGACCAGATAGGTATCAAGCAAGAGGTAAAGAAGACAGACAAATTTTCTGCCTTGCCAAGTTTCTGCTGAATTTTATCTTCTCATAGGAAAAGCAAAACAAAACACCAACAGCCACCATCACTGTTATGGAACAAATGTGTCCCACAAAACACATATTGAATCCCTGATCCCCAGTGTGATGATATTTGGAGATGGGGCCTTTGGGAGGTGATTGGGGTTAGAGGAGATCATGAGGGAGGGGCCCTAACCAAGGGACTGGGCTTCTTATAAAAAAAGACATCAGAGTGTGTTTTTTCTCTTTTTCTCTCTCTCCCGTCTCTCTTTCCCCACCCCCTGCTTTGCTCTCCCTCTCTCTCCCTCACCTCCCTCGTGCACACAGAGCAGGTTCTGGGAGCACCTGGCAAGGAGAAGGTGGCTGCCTGCAATCAAGAGAAGAACCTGCCTCTTCCAGAACTGTGAGAAACAAACTTTTGTTGTTTAAGCCTCTAGTCCATGGTATTTTGGTGGTAGTACGAGCCGACTAACACAACCAACAACAGCAACTAGGACACAATATGAAGGATTTTTATTTCCTAGAGCAAAAAGCAGCCCAGGCGGGTAAATGTGTTTATTGACATGGATGAATGTGCATCTCAGTTTCAAATTTGGTTTCAAAGAGCATCAAAGAGATAAATCCATAGCTTCTATCTGGTTAGCAACCTTTTAAAGAAGCAACTTGCTTACATGGAAGCATGGCCTGTGTCTTTCACAGAATGGCACGAAGCTCCTGCGGTGCCCTGTGCTGCGGCCACTGGGTCTTCTGGGAAAGTCCCTGAGCCTCATCTCAGATCCTGTTCGACCTTCATTGATCTCTAAATGGTGGATGTTTTCTTGCTTCATGTCTTTGCAGAGCAGTGATTTCTCAGTGGGGAGGAGGCGGTGATCTCCAGGTGCTCTTTTGTTAAGTGAACTCTGGAAGCCAAACATGACGACCTGCCAGTGTCTTGATGCCATGAGCCGATGGCCAGCAAAGAGCTCTCAGGAGCCCCCTCGCTGCTCAGCAGACTGGGATTTCAGGTTTGGGTTTCAGGGCTCGGAAAGTGGTCCCAGGGCTCATCTGGCTCAACATCTTGTTTTAGCCATGAGGAAATCATGGGAGAGGAAAAGGGTTCCCAAGGGTCCCTGCTGTGTCTTTTTTTTTTTTTTTCTTTCTTTCTTTTTTTTTTTTGAGACAGAGTTTTGCTCTTGTTGCCCAGGCTGGAGTATAATGGTACAATCTCAACTCACCACAACCTCCACCTCCAGGGTTCAAACGATTCTCCTGCCTCAGCTTCCCAAGTAGCTGGGATTACAGGCATGCGCCACCACGCCCGCTAATTTTGTATTTTTCGTAGAGATGGGGTTTCTCCGTGTTGGTCAGGTTGGTCTCAAACTCCTGACTTGAGGTGATCTGCCCGCCTCAGCCTCCCAAAATACTGAGATTACAGGTATGAGCCACCGCACCCGGCCTCCTGCTGTGTCCTTCTAAGTGGGAAGTGCACTGCGTTTGGCTCAGATCATCAGTGGGGAAGTTGGATCCCTGGCCTACCTCTGTTCCTAGGAAGAAAAGGCCACATCCCTTCCCAGGACACCAGGACCAGCAACTCCTGGCAGTGGCCTCTAGGCTGCAGTCTTTTCTGAAAAACACTTCCAGCGTCCTCGGCTTGAGGTCAGGCTGTGCAAGGGAGGCAGTGCCCTGTGGGTCCCCAGACGACGTGGAAACATCAGCCTTGAACCCTCAAAGATGAAACATTCCCATGGGGCCAGTCAAGAGGGGCTTCTGGCCCTCAAGGGGTGAGGGTTTCTGTTTCCCCTCTTGCTAGAGACCATTTTGAAAAGTCTCACGAGACTCTCTGAGATCTGCATTTCAAGCTCCAAAAGGTCTTTGTTAACAGTTTTCATCAGTTTGGTGCTAATGAGGCTGAGTTTGGAGATCTCAGTGCCATCTCTGCCCCTGGGCATCTGCTTCCTGTGCTGCTGCACTCTGAGGTCTGTAAGAGGCACGCTTCTCAGAGGAGAAAGACCACGTGAAAAGCAAAGTTGGGGGGAGAGCCCGGTGTGCATTCATGCAGGCACACAGGCGATGGCGGGGGCCCAAGGTGGCCCGGGGATTCTCCCCCATCCCACCCAAGGGAAGATGCTTTGAAAACCCCTCCCCTTGAGAGTGGGAGACCCTGTGAATATGACAGAATGGCATTCTCATGATTAGGTGACGTTCAATGGAAAAGAAGATGGGATTTTGCAGATGTGATTAAGGTTTCTAATCCATTGGCTTTTAGTTAATCAAAAGGGAGATTATCCTTGTAGAACTCATCTAACCAAGTGAGCCCTTAAAGCTAACGTTTTCCAACTGGTCTTTTAAAAACCTGTCAGCCATATGCTGACAACCGTCCCTGGCGGGGGGGCACAGGGCAAAAACTCCAAGAGCTGAACATGGCCCCAGAACACAACCACCAAGAGAGTTATGGTCATTAAAAATGGAATTGTGTCAACAACGTGAATTATCTTAGAAGAAGACCCTGAGCCTTAGATGAGAGAGCTGCCCAGCAGGCACATCTAATGCCCTGGTCAATGGTGGAAGACCAAATGCGTCCCTCCTAAGAGCAGGAACACAGCAATCAGTCCCCTCCCTGCAAGCCTCAGCCTGGCGAGGCCCTGAGAAGAGGGCCCGGGTAGCTCAGACACGGACTCCTGACTCACAGGGACTGTGTGATATTCAATGATATCATATTATTCATTCATATTGTTATGTAGCTGTATAGTAATATCATAAACATTCATTCATATTATTATGAATGTTTTTGAATTGGCTTTTGTTGCTCAGCATAATTTCTGCAGATTCGTCCAAGATTTTGTGTAGGAAGAGTGGTTCGTTTTTATTGCTGAGTAGTTTGGAGGTGTGTGTGCACCGCAAGTTTCTTTAACTGCTCCCCCATGAGTGAATGACATCTGGGCAGATTCCAGGTCTTGCTTGCTACCAATAAAGGTGCCGCGGAGGTTCATGTACAGGTTTTCGTGTGAGCATAACTTTTCACTTTTCTGGGATAAATGCCCAAAAGTATAATTGTTAGGCCATGTGACGATTGGAGTTTAGTAAGAAACTCCGATTTCTTATTTGCCTGTTTTCTGAGTGGCTCTACCATTTTACATAACTACCAGAAAAGGCATCAGCCTCTCTGTCTCCCTGCCAGCATTTGGTAGTGTCTTAGCCATTCCAATAGCTGGTCCCGTACTGTGATTTTGACTTTGCACGTCCCTGACAGCCACTGATATTGATCCTCTTTTCCTGTGCTTCTTTGCTACAGAGCTCCTTGCTGTCATGGGTTCCATCTTCCTTGGTAGACTGTTCATGTCTGGTGTCTATCTTCGCATTAAACAATTTGTTTTTACGTTGAGTTTTGAGAGTTCTTTATCTATACTGGATACTAGTCGTTTGTTGTATAAGTGGTTTGCAAATATTTTCTCCCAGTGTGTAGTGTGTCTTTTCATCCTCTTAATGGAGTCTTTCTCAGAGCAAAAGCTTTTAATTTACCAGCAGCCAAATTCAATCAATGATTTCTTTTATGAATTGTGCTTTCAATGTCAAGTCTAAGAACTCTTTGTCTAGCCCTGGATCTTGAAGATTTTCTCTGAAGTTTCCTGGAAACACTTTGTGGTTTTACATTTTACGTTTAGGTCCATGAGGTGTTTTCAGTTAAATTTTGCGTTAGGAGAGGGACTTCAGTCAAGACTCTTCTGGTGTTGGCCTGTGGGTGTTCAGTTGCTCAGCATCACTGGTTGAGACCCTGTCTTTCCTCTCTGTTGCTTTGGCAAAAATCAGTTGGACATATATAGTGGGTCCATATCTGAGTTTTCCATTCTGTTCCATTAGTCTGTTCCTCTGATAACATTGCCAAATCTTGATTGCTGTAGCTGTATAGTAAGTCTTGAAATTGGATAGACTGGTTCCTCCCAATTTATCCTGTATTCAAAATTGTTTTTTGCTATTTTCGTTCCTTTTTAAAATATATGTCTACTGAAATTAACATGTTTATATCTACAAAAAAATCTTGCTGTGATTTTTATGAGGTTTGTGTTAAATTGGTTTATCAGCTCGGGCAGAGTTGACGTATTTACTATGTACAGTCTTTCAACCTCTAAACATAGCATGTCTCTCCACTTGTTTAGATCTACTCTGAATTCTTCCCTACATGTTTTGTGGTTTTCAGCTGTTAAAACGAACTAAATATGGTCTGAGAAGGGCTCTGTACTTGTATATTGAGTCCTTATGGATGAACTGCAACCTAGCTTAATAGGTAGACAAGACTGAAAACCTAACTTAGGATTATGCATCTGTAATGCATACTGAGTCTCAGCATGAGCTGAGTCTTGGCCAGTCCCAGCAGGTGTACTTCAACCACTCATACACTGCCGAGTAACCAATCCAGCTGTTCTGTACTTCACACTTCTGATTTTTGTACATCATTTCCTTTTTTTGTTTTTGTCTGTAAATCTTCTACCATGTGGCTGCATTGGAGTCTCTGTGAATCTGCTGCGAATCATTCATAGCTCAATTAAACTCCTTTAAATTTAATTTGGCTGCAGTTTTTCTTTTATCACAGCAGACAAGTGTGTACATGAGTTCACAGATTTACACCTAAAGATTTCAGGTTTAAAGCACTGGTCAATGGTACCGTTGCTAATTTCAGTGTTTATGTATTCATTGCTTATGTATAGAAATACAATTGATTTTTGTATGTTTATCTTGTATCCATCCTGTGGCCTTGCTGAACTCACTAAATAGTTCTAGGAGTTTTTTTGTTTGTTTGTTTGTTTTTGGTAGATTCCTTGAGATTTTCGACATGGAAAGCCACGTCATTCGCAAAGAGAGATAGCTGCATTCCTTCCTTTCTCCTTTGTATTTAAAACATTCATTTTCTTCCTCCCTCTCTGCCTGCCCCTCCCATTCTTGTCTTATTGCTGTGGCTCAAACCTCCAATAGGCCGGGTGCGGTGGCTCAAGCCTGTAATCCCAGCACTTTGGGAGGCCGAGACGGGCGGATCACGAGGTCAGGAGATTGAGACCATCCTGGCTGACACGGTGAAACCCCGTCTCTACTTTAAAAATACAAAAAACTAGCCGGGCGTGGTGGCGGGCGCCTGTAGTCCCAGCTGCTCGGGAGGCTGAGGCAGGAGAATGGCGTGAACCCGGGAGGCGGAGCTTGCAGTGAGCTGAGATCCGGCCACTGCACTCCAGCCTGGGCGGCAGAGCGAGGCTCTGTCTCAAAAAAAAAAAAAAAACCTCCAATAGGAGGCAGTATGAAAGCAGTGAGGGACTCTGCTTTGTTACTGCTCTTAGGAGGATGGCTTTCAGTCTTTCACCACTGAGTATGACATTAGATGTAGATCTATTTTTACTTATGTTCTTTGAGTTAATTCTGCCTTATCCCTAACTTGGTGAGCTTTATAAAATCATGAATAAGTGTTAAATTTGCCAAGTGTTTTTTGTGCATCAATTGATATGATCATATGATTTTTCTTCTTTGGCTTGTTGTAGGGTGGATTATATTTCAAACATTGAACCAGCCTTGCATGCCTGAAATGAATCCCACTTGGTCATGATGCGTAATCCTTTTCACACATTGTTGAATTTGTTTCACTATTATTTTGATAACAATTTTTGTGTTTAAGTTGATGAAGATATTATCTGTAATTTTTGGGGTACCCTTTCATCTTTTTACAAATCAGGGTAGTAGTATTACAGAACATTTGGGAAGTGTTCCATCCTCCAATATTTTCTGGGAAAGGTGGTGTGGAATTGATGTTAATTCTTCTTTATACAATTGGTAGATGCATCCAGCAAAACCATCTGGGTCCGGAGGGTTTTGTTTGTCTGGAGTTTAAAAAATTTCAGATTTTTAAAAGCTGAGCTCCTAGCATTTCTGGATTGTTGATCTCAATGTGCTTGCTCAGGCCAGGCTTCAAACTTGGAGTGGGCATGGGAGAGGGCATGGGGGGTCTCATCCTCGAAGACAAGCTTGTCAAACCCATTGCCCTTGGGCCGCATGTGGCCCAGGATGGCTTTGAAGGTGGCCCAACACAAATTCATAAATTTCTTAAAATATTGTGTTTTTTTGGTGATTTATTTATTCTTTCTTTCTTTTCTTTCTTTTTCTCTTTCTTTATTTCTTTCTTTCTTTTTTTCTATCTTTCTTCTTTCTCTCTCTCTCTTTCTTTCTTTTCTTGTTTTTTTCTCATCAGCTATTGTTAGTGTCAGTATATTTTATGTGTGGCCCGAGACGATTCTTCTTTTTCCAACATGGCCCAGGGAAGGCAAAAGCTTGGACACCCCTGCTCTAAGAGTTCGCCATCAGGATGGGGCAGCGGCCAGAGGGAGAGACAGCCCTTTAGAAAGGGCTCAGGGAACTAGAATACATGGATGCAGAGGCAGGTCCCCAAGACCACAGGGGCAGAACTGGAGTGATGCAGACACAAGCCAGCGAACACCAGGAGCCTCTGGAAATGGAAAGGGGTAGGAAGGAAGGCTCTTTTCCTGGAGCTTCCGGGGCCTGGACCTGTTGCCAACTTGGCTTAGAGCTCCTGGCCTCTAGGGACATGCAGGAGTAAATGGGCACTGCTTCCCGCCAGCCGGTTCCTGGTAATTCATTACAGTGGTGCAGGAAACTAGTGCATGCGCCTAGTACAGCACTCTCCCGGCCCCACCTGTTCCCTCCTGGTTGATCTCCAAGGAGACAGTGGAGGGCAGGGGTGCCCATCTCCATGCGTTCACACCTTTACTTGTTGGTGCATTTGTTCTGAACACAGGCTATGGGGTGAGCAGTGGGCTGCGGGCTGAGTGGGCAGGGTATCAGGGAAGAGAGAGACAGAGGAGAGACAGAGAGAGAAGAAGCATCAAACGTGGCCCCAGCTTCCAGGGAGTGGGTGTTTGCTAGGGAGGGAAGACAAAGGCAGAGGTAATTAGAAGACAGAAAGAGGAAGGGTGAATGCTGAGTATGTGCCTGGAACATAATGGGCTGGTGCCCCAGGGCACTCTGGGAGATGCAGCCCTGGGCTCTGCTCTGTGGGTCTGAGGGGTCAGCTGCATCCTGCTGGGTGTCCAGGCTCCATGTGGGGCACCTTCTCCTGCTCCACTGGCTGCACCCACACACCATTCGAAGCTGATTCCTCCTCAGTCCCATTTTGTGCACTATGCACAGTGAATAGCGGCGCTGCTCCTTTCTGGAAGATATTCCTTTTTGTGTTTCTTTTAATCAAAAGGGATTGTGGAGGCCTTTTCATCTTCAGCAGGGTAAAAAAAACCCTAGGGACTCCCACACCACAGCAGCAAGGGATGTCTTCCTCGTTAGGGAGCTGGAGCCTGGCTCTTCAGCTCCTTAATGACCAAGCTCCCTGCTGCCCGGCATGAGACTACGTCACTGCGTCTTACAATGCAAAAAGTAAGTTTACAGAAACTTAAACGTACTTTACCATTTCTTAAGTAATCCTTAAAATGTTAACTCTGGAACCTTTAATTCAGCAAACACGAGGAGGTGCTGGCTCAGACGCAGCTTCTCAGCCCCAGAGAGCGAGTGTTCCAGCCCCCAGCCCGTTGTGAGTGCGGCTCTGAAGAGCTCCGAGTTAGGGAGCTGCATTTAAATGGTGTGTGGGAAGGACCTGACGTCCACCTCCTTCTGAAAGTTCTCCCCAGCTTCTTGATTCTGTGTGGTTGGACGACGCTTTCCTTCTTCCTGGTCCACCAGCTTCTTCTTAGTCTCAGTCTCTTCCGCATAAATGCTTTTCCTGACTTTCTTCTG